GGAGGGTCATGAGTTCGAGGCCAGTCTAGGCTCCATGTTTGGGTTAGGGAGATAGTTCAGTGGCTAAATCATTTGCTGCACCAGAGTGAGGATGGAAGTTCAGATTCCAGCACTCACATTTAAAAAAAAAAAAAAGGATCGGGCGGTGGTGGCGCACGCCTTTAATCCCAGCAGAGGCAGAGGTAAGCAGATTTCTGTGAGTTCAGGGCTAGCCTGGTCTACAAGATCTAGTTCCAAGACAGGCTCCAAAGCTACAGAAAAACCCTGTCTCGAAAAACCAAAAAGCCGACAGGCATTGTAGCGCACTGTGATGCCAGTGACTAGGATGTGGAGACAGGGCGTCTCCGGAGCAAACTAGCTAGCTAGACTAGCTGGACTGCTGAGCTCCTGTTCAGCAAGAGATTCTCCCTGAGGATAAAACAAAACTGGTGGATAACTGAAGAGAGACATTTGATACCAACTCTGGTCTCCACATGCATCCACTTCATGTGCACCCCCCCAAAACACACATGTGCACACACACAAGAGAAACAATGGAAAACAAAAATCAATCAACATCTTGGTTTTAGTTCCAGACTCCAAACACAGATGTTTGTATATAAGGAAATGTATCTAGACAACAACATACAAGGAAATACACAAGGTCCGTATTAGCCCCTGCTAACCCTGAACTCACAGGGCTCTATTCGTCCAGCAAAGGCAAGTGAGTCAAAGGCGACAAAGTCATCCTATATTCCTTTAAAGTTTGTTCAAATAAAATCATGGAGCCAGTGTAAATGCATGGCACCTTTGGCCCGCCATGCCCTCAAGCTAAAGAAGCAGAGCCCGTGTGTAGTTTAGCCTCTGTGGGTAACCTTCAAATGGCCAAGTGCACGCACGCTTCCCCTCCAAACTCAGCCTGGGTCCTGCCTTCCTATCAGCAATCTGCAGACGGAGTGTAAGGGGATTGGGTTGGGCATGGGCCTCACAGGCACAGGAAGCAGGTTGAAATCTTGCTTTGGAGTCTCACAGGAATCTCTATACAAAGTCATTTTGTTCCTATTTCCAAGGGAAATGCTTCACTCTGAGCGAGGAACACTCAGCCACAGCTAGGGAACAGGGCCCCTTCTGCAGACCTCTCCGCTATGCTTGTCATTCTAGAATGGCGTCTCCATTCAGAAGACAGGGTCGTGAAGACCTGCGATTTTACACAAGACTCAGGACATCAAGTAGAACCCCAAATAGAGACTGAAGTGGGAACTGGGCATGTGTTCCTCCACAGTGCAAAGTCTCTCCTAGACACAGGCAGTAACTCAATCACCAGTTCCGGTGGTTTCTAGATCAAAGAGCCCTCTGTGTGTGCCCTTTGGGGAAGAACTATTTTGCAGCATTGAAAAGGAGTCTCCTGGGATGGTGCAATAGCTCAGTGGGTTGGGGTACTGGACGCGAAGTTGGATAACCTGAGTTTTATTCTCAGAACCCACACGGTAGAAGAGAAAAGCAGCTTTTGCGAGGTGTCTGTCATCTGACCTATACACGTGGGCTGTTGTATGCACACTGCCTCCATTCCCCAAATTAAAAAAGTAATAAGATAAGATGATATCTAAAACTGTCCTGTTTCTTGACTATGCAAATTTTTCCACCTGGTTTGCTTGAAGCAGAGCAGATGTTCCTGGGAAAAGGGCACCATTCATGTAGGTGAGAAGGAATTGGCCCTAAAAGGACTTGCTTCTCACAGGGAAGTAAATCTGCATAGCTCCAGGCAAAGGTTCCAGAAATCAGCCACCTCTTTCCTCATTCCACAGGCCTTTCACCCTCTGACCACTGACACCCAGCTCTGAAATGGAGTCAGAGAGGCCAGTTGAGAACCCGGAAGAAGAATCCAGATCCCATACCCTAAAGTTATTAGGGGGCTAATAGCAAGCTGCCCTCCCGCTTAGTTTTCTCCCAGAAGTTTGATGATTTCAATTCTTCCACTTAGTTATTCGGTCATCGTTGAGCTGGTGTGTGTGTGTGTGTGTGTGTGTGTGTGTGTGTGTGTGAGAGAGAGAGGGGGGGGGATAAAGGTCCCACTTATTCTTTGTATATGGTTATCCAGTTTTCACAGAATCATTTCCTGAACAGGCTATCATTTTCTATTATATCTTCTTGACACCCATATCAAAAATTAGTTGATTGACACACTTGGGTTTATTTCTGGGCTCTCGATTCTGCCTCACTGTTCTTCATGTATGTGGTTTTATGCCTATACTCCATTGTTTTGGTCACTGTAGTTTTGCCATGTAGTTTGATATTAGGAAGTATGATGGCTTTGACTTTGCCTTTCTTTCCCAAGATGGAGTGGACTTTTTTTCTTAAATTTCTTTTTGTTGTTATGATGCCATGTAAGGTTTAGATGTTTTTCTATTTCTATGAAAATGCCACTGGAATTTCGATGAAGACTGCATCTAATCTGAATACCACGTTGAATATTATGGGAATTTGATGACGGCAGGAAGCATTTGTATTTACTAATGCCGTCTATGTCTGTCATGAATGTTTTAGACTTTCCATGCATGGATCTTTCACTTCCTTGGTAAGCGACTTCAACGGCTGCTCCTTCCTTCACAATGCTGTTAGTTTTGAGGAGCAGGTAGGAGCAGGATGGGAAGCCCTTGGACAAGTTTTGTTGCTGGGCCAAAGCACCCGCTGGAGGCTTGGCGCTGATTTGGCTGCTCTAATTGTTCGGGCCTTCTATAAAAACAGCCTAAATCCCTACACAGAACTTCTGGGTTCAGAAGTCAACATGGTTTCAGGGCTCCTCCACTCTTTTGAGCAGACAACAACTGTTGAACAGGCCACACTCCATGTTTTGGTAAAGTGACAAAAGCCTTATTGGTTTTGTTCCCGGGCAGGGAAGGTAGCTCCCACACAGATGTATCTATACCCTCAGAAAAAAAAATCAACTTTGGGTCTTCTTAGTGAACTGGCTACCTTAGAAAGGAAGGTAACTGTTGACCCTTGTCCTTACTGAGCATGCGTATATGCCCTGTGCCTGGTGCTCATTATCTCACTTATCTCCACAGCAACTCTGTTATTATCCCCATCTGCCAGATGAAGAAATTGAGGTTCCAAGAGATAAAGTCACTTGCCCCAGGTCACACAGCTGTGTGGTTCTAAAGTTCAGTCTTTGTAATAAAGGTCGGCATTAGAAACGGCAGCTGGTGTTGAGAACCAAGGGCTTCAACGTTTTTTTTTTTTAAATCAAATAATACCTCATTCTAGTCTACAAGAACCACTGAACCCCTCTGAGCAGGGTTCGAACCCTCCCTGATCCCTATACCATCGGAAGCATGGCTATTAGTCTGACAATATTAGAGACGATCGGGGTTCTCAAATAGGTACTTCTCCTTCAGGGGCAGCAGAAGGAAGTGGAGCAGGCCATGGAACGAAGAGAAACAAGGCTGGCTTCTGAATAAACAGCAGTTGATGCATAAACACAATTACTCTTTTAGGACAATGGTTATTAACCTCTTTTGCATATGGACCCTTGGAGAATGTGAGGAAAATTGTGTGCCCTGTCCTAGGAGGAAAAGCTAAATGCAAACCCACAACTTTTTACATAGTTTCAGTGAAATTTCGTGAGTTTCTTATATGCTATCCAAGAGTAACAGACCCCAGGTTAAAATCTCCTGCTTTAAGCAGCCCGGATTCTATGCTTTAAAATGTAATCAATTAGAAAACGATGATTTCTTCAAATAACAAGGCAACCAAGGGCACAGAATCCAGGCTTTGCTTTCTAAAACTTTTGCTTGCAATGTCTAATTGCTTGCATGAGATAGATACACACTCAGCATCCTCTAGTCCCCTCATTGCCTGTGAAAGGCACAGATGGCCACTAGAAGGGCTGGCCTGAAGACAGAAAGAGAAATTGTACATATAAATTTCTCTTGTTACTAGAGATTGGGCAGCTACTTCGTAGACAGGAATGACTTCATTGGATGGAGACTGGGTTACGTGGCCTTAACAGTCCAGCCAGCACCTGAGGTCAAATATTCTACTCTCTACGTAAAAGCCGTATGGATTCGGCCACGCCTGTTCCTACTAAGCAACTGTTGGCTTCATGAGAGGCCAGGGACCCGCTAGCGGGAGAGCCAGTATCTATTGGCTCAGGCACCTACCTGAGTCGGCAGGCAGTCCGCTTTCCTACATTAGCCTCTGTTATTCCAAATAGCAACCGTTAGTTCCTTGCCAACTAGAGGCCCATTGTTCTTTTACAAAAGTATTAGATAATCCCAACCCAAGTCATTCCAAGACAATTTCCCCCTGGCCTCTTGGGTTGGGAGTAGACAAGGTCTTCCTGTAATGGTTAGTGGGATTGTTAGCTATAGTCTGATAGTTCTCCTCCTAACCCACTTGCAATGTTTAAGCTTTCACATCAACAATCCCGAAGCACAGATCCCATGCAAACGGTGCGCTACACAGTGAGTGCTAGGCTAGCCTGGCGACAATCCTGTGAGATCTTGTCTCTTTCCCCCTCCCCCCCGCAGAAAAGGACACTCACTCTTCTGCTCTTTCAGGCAAGTGCCACGAAAGACCCTCCAGAAGCTAAGGAACCCACAGATACTGTATTAACCAGTAAGCTTTTGAACGCATGACAACTGACAACCAGCACTCCACTGAAGCTTCCAACGATCCCAGGAGCCACACAAATCCTCACTGTTTTGCCCCGCATTCATTTATTCTCTTTCTCCCTATCCTCCCGTACTCAGAAAACCTTGTAGAGAGGCCATATTGTGATCAGGTACAGCCTGGGAGGGTTTCCTTTTGTGTGGACACAGTTAGAAACAGATTTAGCGAAGCAAAAGAACACTTCAAAGCATACCTTGCTGCATAGCGAAGACCTGGACTAGCTCCCCCTCCCCACCTCCTTTCTTTCCCTCTCTCCCTTCTCACTTCGTCCTCCCCCAGGCTACTTTTCCATTGCTCCAAGTTACTTGTCTTTAAACATTCCCCCATTGTAATAAGAAGACGTTACTCACTTAAAAAGAGAAATCTTTGACTCTGAGAATTCTGAGGTTGTGAGTCCTGCTTTCTCCGAGTCGAGCACGAGGGAAGGGCTAGAGAGAGGATGAGGCTGGCCCCTTAGACGGGAATCCTGATGCCTGAACTCTTCCTGTTATATATGGCTTTCAGGAGATGGCTGAGCATGTTCACCCTCTCCCTTTTTCCCGCCCCCTTTTCTAACTCTCAAGCTGCGCAGCGAACCTGTGGGCCCGAACGCACCAGGTGTCTCCAACTTTCTAATTGAGCAAGGCAGAGTCCCTCCCGGCCAAAAGTCTTGAAATATTTATCTAGATTTTGGGTTCACTGGATTAATGCCTTAAGCTGGTGCGCAATCCCACTGAAGGTCAATGTTCTTGTCTTAACGTTTGTCCAATGTCTGTGTGGTATTCAGACCTGAACATGATAACTTTCCCTCCAGATTGCAATTCCCCAGAGTGCACCCTGGAGAGAGAAGCCAGTTCACATTGTTTGCAGATCGGTCAGCATAGTGATTCAAGGTGGGCTCAGGATTGAAACTGCTTTGAGCTAAAGCAGATCAGCCCCGATTCACCCCTTGGGGGGGAAGGCCTCTGAGCCGGGGAATGCGCAAGGCCCCTCCAGTCAGAGGAGACATCCGCTTCCCTCTGCTTTGGGCTCTACCAGTTGGCAGATGGAGGCCCGTGCAAATGCTGGCCAGACCAAAATGGTGCCTAGACAGGCACGATATTGTTTAGAAAGAAAGAAAGGAAACATCTGTGAACGCTGCCTTGGTGCTGAGCAGGGACAAGCCTGCTGCTTTTCCTCACGGGCCCGTGGTGGGCTAGCTCCTGACCGATCAGAGAGGTTTTCCTGAAACAAATGCATCTGAAAGATATTTTCCATCCCCCTACAGGAAATGCTTGTGTTTAGTCATCCTTACTACATGGGCTGAGTCAGCAAGCTCAGCTTTAACCACAGCTGCTTTCAAATGGTAAGTTAAGAAGCCCAGTCAGTTGAGTGAGGAACACTTTGGCTGAAACGCTTTGACAGCCGGAGCTCCCAAATCTGGCGGCTAAGCGAGAGGAATTGCAATTTGGGCACCGCTCAATACCTTTTTCAGGCCTTCTGGGTGGGCCTCAATTACTTTTTAGTATGTTTGTACTACAGAGCATTCCAGAATGCATAGAGACATCAGTCTGTGTACCTTTAAGAGACCACTCTGGTGGCGTGGTGTGATCTTTGGCTTAGGATTTAAATCCTGGTTCTGTCAATAATTTGCTATACTGACTCTAGGGCAAACGTCCCCCTCTCTCCAGGCCTTAGCAATCAGATATTTAAATTAGAGGCTTGGATAAGATCACTTCTCAGGGTTCTTCCTGCTCTGATGGCCTGTGGAACAGTCAGGGACAGATGGCCAGGCGCTCTTTCCCCAGTTTACCTGGGGGACACTGCAGAACCTGTTTTGTGAATATCTTCAGCCTTTCCCCACCTGTGGCAGCTGCCCAGAGTCTGACCACAGCCTCTTTTCTCTCTTTTGGACCTTCCTAGGCACGGAGTACCCCCGGGGAACATTCTTTTCTAAAAAATCCTCTGGCACTCCGCGAGCGAGTTTCGAGTCTGCATTCTGTTAAGCCCTCTGCAAATGTGGGAGACAACTGCTTATGGCTGAGGTTGAACTGACCGCACTTTCTCCCCTCATCAGGGAGGTTTTGCCATTCTTTTGGTCACTGGCACTGACGCATGAACCTAGAGGGACGAAGGCTGCCTGAAGGCCGCCACTGGCCCCAACATTAGCTGTCAGGGAGAAGAAAAACCACATAGTCCAGAAGCAGCCAGATGTTGCCTGAGATCACAGAGCTGTCCCAGGCCTCGGAGAGTCTTAGACGCAGAGAAGAGGGTGGATCTGTGTAAGGTAGCCCTATAAATTCTGCTATCCATCTCTGGATACAGGAGATCAAGGGTCAAAAATATCTGACGTTGGCCAAACACTCAATGGGTGTGTATCAGACACTGTCGTGTGCCCGTCAGTTGCTCATCTAGTATTTAGCTCCGCTACTTTCCTGTACAGTGTTATGGCTGTTTCGTATTTTATAGATGAAGAAACTGAGGTGCGTAGTGGCAATGAACTTTCTCTAGGTGAAACAGGAAACAAGCGCAGGAGCTGGAGTTATGCTCTAGATCAACTGTGTGACGTCTGCAAGTCACTCGTCCCCACGTCTGCGCGGCGGCTTTATGGGAAGAGTCTTCTGGTGCTGATGAAGCTGACTGCCTCACCTGCCTCAGACTTCTGCACCTCTTGGCCAGGTCTGGTGCCTGTCTTGGTTTCTACCGACCCTTCCACAGAGAGAAAACAATCAGAACCAACTCCCCCCCTGCTGATCTGCAAAGTGTTGTCTTTACAGTCCTGGAATGAGTTGTGTTTTTCTCTTAAAAGGGAAACACAGAAAAAGGACGTGGTATAAAACAGCTTCCCCTGGAGCTAAGAAACTAGAGAAAACTTAGCTACATTCCTCTCCACTGGTAAGTCTATTAGATTAGTCAAATATCAGAGTTAGGGGGAGCCAATAACTTGTGCAGTCCCAGGGCTTCCCGTTATGCATGAGGCAGCTGAGGTTGAGACAGAGGCACAGTTACCAGAAACTCAGACCAATTACTGCCTCCGTGCCTTCTCTGTGTTCCAAAGAAAGTAGGAAACAAAAATTCACAGCTCGGTCAAAGCATGGAGAGAAAGAACGTAATTTCTACCATGCCTGTAGCAGCCTTCCAATTCACAGATGACCAGCAACAAAGGGCAGAAGAACGTCGCGTTAGCTGTGACCCAGTTTAAAGGATCCTCTCCTGCGGGAAGAGTGTCATGGCCTCAAGTTGTTCCAAGTGTCTCGGTCCTCAGTGTGGAGTTATTGCCACTCTATCAGAGACTGTGGGTTGAAGGAGCCCTTCAAAGATGGGGAGAGGGTGGGAAATGATGAAGCTGGCTATTCTGTAATTCCCTCGCAAGCTCATCTTACAAGGGCATCACCTGTATCAGAGCCACGCTTTCCAACGGGCTGTTCCAAAGGTCTTGTGTAATAGAGGAGCAGAAATCTAGGTTTTTCAAAGGCAGTGGCAGAGCAAGCAACTGCCAAATCTGAATGGTCTGTCTGTGTTCCATGTGTTTGCGGTGCCCTCAGAAGCTGGAAGAGAGCCTTGGCACAATATGGGTGCTGTGTCCTCTGGAACAACAGCCCGTGATCTTAACTGCCGAGTTATCTTTCGCCTCCCTCTTAGGATCAATATTATTATTATTTTTTTTCTTTGGTTTTTCGAGACAGGGTTTCTCTGTGGCCTGCCTCTGCCTCCCGAGTGCTGGGATTAAAGGCGTGCGCCACCATCGCCAGGCATAATATTATTTTTTTTACACCAGGGCTAAGCGCTTACCTAATAGATCGTACATAAGCTCAGAAATGACCGGGGAAAGCCTGTTTCAAACCAAGTTGCTCAAAAATTGGCCTGATGAGTGTGATCTAAAGAGAATTCCCAAAGCTTGCCTTAATGAAAGCTGAGCGGAGCCATCTTCCTTTCTCATTTTGAGTGTGCAGATGGTATTGAAATGCTTTCAAGCCAAAGGCGTATAAAATATTACTCTAGAATAAATTTTATGGTGGTATAAATTTTCACTAATCCCAATACAGAAGTCACTATGGAAAAACTAAAAGAAAGACCTGGGGCTTTGTTTGTGGTTGAAGCCTCCCAGGAACTGGCCCGAAGGAATAGTAGCTTAACGGCTGCTTTCAGAGAATTATCAGCAGAAATATCATCCACATTCCCTAGTGTCAGCCCACAATGAATTTTCCAGCCTCTTCCTTCTAAGCCCCGAGCAAAAGTGCCAGAGTACAAAACTAAAAGGTACCACACTGTAGATCCTGTTTTGCTTGCTAACTGAGGCGATCCACACAGAAAACCTTATTAAGTGCCATGTCTTCCTAGCCGCGATGATAGGAAGACTTGAAAAAGACTTGAAAGGATCATCTGTACATCCACGTTGTGTTTTAGGGTAGAGTCTGTCACTGTCTACCAACTTTATCACGTGGGAAGAAAGTCGACCGCACACCAACGTAGAAACAAATGAACTTTCACTTTGTGTTATAGGATGGCCGAAATCTGATTACCTTCCCTAATCAGTCAGCCTCTTCCTTCATCCCAGGTTGTAGCCAAATTCCCAATCCATGGTAGCAGCTTAGTTTAGGAGGCAAGAGCAAGGGTGAGTGAAAGCTAGGGGTATCTGTGGGTGGGAGTGTGGGGGACACTGGCTTGCCTAGGAAGAATGTTCGAGGTAGTCAGCACTTCTAAGCTCCCCCCCACCACCGAAAATCTGCTTTTGTAGTGTTAGGGGATGACATTTCATTGCAAAAATAAATGATTTGGTCATTAGCATTTCATGGCTGCTGGCAGCCACCCTCCTCTGCTTTCTAACAATTTCCATTTCAGGCACTGACAAACCCTTCAAAGAGATCCAGCCAAATATCCACCCAAAGTTGCGTAGTTGGCACTTTCCTAGGGGGAAATCTGGGGCCTCTGGGCAGAAAAAAAAATTGCCAAAAAGGGCTCCCTCCTTCTTTGTTAATTGTTAACAAACACATCCCCATAACCAGTCACGGGGGCTCCATGGGCAGCAATGGGGGAAGGGAAGGGAAAGAACGGAAGTTGTTGGCAGGGCCTGCTTCCTTGGCTCCAGTCCTTGCTCTCAGTCTCCATTGCTGCCTGTACTTTTCTCAAAGCCGGGTGCTGCCTCCACTGCTATCGCTAACCAATGCAGGTCCAGCTTTCGGCAGGCAACTGTCCCCCAGAGATCCAGAGCCACAAGTGGGCGTGGAAACCCCAGGGGAAAGAGTCTCTGAGGTCGTAGGCTTTCTCAGTCTGCTGGAAGCTCTTGTTAGCCAACCCGCTGGCCCTACAAGCATGCTGTCACCAAGGAGCCTCTTTGGGAAACATTGCAGTCGATCTCTGGACTCAATTTGGGCCTCTTGTCCTTGAGACTCACAAAACCCAGAACACTTAGGCTCACCAGAGAGAAGAAGGTAGAAACTACTACTTGACCGGGAGCTTCCACAGCCTGGCGCGCAGAGAATTCACATCCATATTCTCCTCAGTTCTGGAGGCTCTTCTCCCAGCTCCTAAAACGAGCAATTCCCTTCTCTCCCTCCAGGATTTGTTCATCCTGATCCCTC